CATCATGTGGAAATGAGTTCTAAAGTCTGTTGGTACAGAACATTTTCATTTAAGTATATTTGGCAGAAGGTTAAATTAAATATTTTCCTTCAAATACTGGATATCTTGGGCTTTGTTTTGCTGATGTAATTAATACTCATGAGGGAAGTGACCTTGCAAGTATAAACTGTGATTTAATTTTACTGGCCAATTCTTCTCCCTCTCCTATTGCAATCTTCCAGTCATTGCACAAAATACCCCAGGTAATTACAAATAGGCACTTAAAGTTAGTTTAGGTCACATGTGCAATGGATGTGAAGGAAATGGAGCAAAACAACATAGAGGGAAATGACAGTTTTGAACTCTACAAATAGCACACCCATGGTACATAACTTCTTTACTTGCCTTTGTAAATTTCCAATTTTATTTAATAAAGTAGAAATTGAATAGTCTTAGACCACCCCTATGAAATGTGTTTATGTTACTATAGGTTTTGCAGGTTTTAGCCACAAAGATGGGATGTTGAAGTGAATCAGGCAGCAAAATCCTAGTTTTTGACTATTTGGAACTATCATGGATTGTACTAATACACCACCAGATTCTCCTACTTCTCAGCATTAACAAAAATTACACCAAAGAACCTGGGATAAATTTTAATTAAATTATTGTTTTATTTATTTTCTTTTGAGGACTGGATGGGACTCCCTTTGGAGCCTGTATAACTCAGATGTTTAATTTATCTGAAGGTCAGTGATGAGCAGATGTGCAGCACTGGCTCTCTCCTGCCGAGCAGCTGAATCCCTCCTTTCACTGCTCTTTCTGGCCCAGGAGCAAGAGATTGGAAGTGCAAACAAAACCTGGCTCCTCCCTCAAGGCAGTGCAGAGCACTACCACTAAGCCACTGGGCTGGCCCTGATCAATTATTTTAAGCCTTATTTATTTCAAAATCGTTTCTCTCTATACTGGAGGCATTTCAGTCGATTGCAGTGAAATTTAGGATATAATGGCTACAGTCTAGAATTCAAAACCAGCAAAAGAAACTTTTCTCACTCTGGTTTAAAAAAAAAAAAAGACATGTCTGTCTGTCTCTTTTTCTCTTTGTGGGTGTTTGAGCCCCTCATCTGTTTTTCACTGCCGTTCATTGTACTGGCATAAACAAAACTTTCATATTAAAATAAAAGGATGTGTGGGCAATGGTTGGCTTCTGTGAGAGTGGAAAATAGATAAAACCAGGACAGGTATTTTCATAAACCAGTTGGAGACAACTAATAATTATTTGTTCTCTTCCTCAGTCCTTCCCTTCCATGAGAAAATTTACTGTTTGTGTAAAAATTCAAAATGTTGATGTTGGTGACTTTTTTTCAGCATATGTTTTTGTACCTGGTTTATCCATGCTTGGCTTTTCATTAGATCTTGTACTGCTGAAGGCTGAGCTGCTAACCAGGTTTATAACATGTATGTACCATCACTTTGTTTACCTGAGTCTTTTTAATTTGAATAAAAATAGTTTGCAAAGTGTTTTGGATTAACCAGGTTTGAGTGTTCCATTAAGACTTCTGTTAGGATTTTATTTCAAGTAATTCTGGCTGTAGCTGATCCAGATGTTCTCAAGTCCTTGGTACGTGTGTGCTTGTGTGTGGATAAAATATCCTTTTTCTATTGACCTGTGTATTTTGAGGTGTTCCTGTAGGTGATAAGAGCAGTTGTGTTGGAAATTGAGCCATCACGAGCATGAACAGTGAACCTTGAAAAATATCTGAAGCACTGGGAACCAGCTGAGTGGAGGCGGTAAGATTCAGTCAGTCCCAGATGCCCCCTTATTAATTGGTTTGAAAATAAACAGCAAGCTTTAATTTCATATGAAAGCTAATGCGGTTCAGGATTGTCTTTCATGTGGCTGTTTAATAGAGGGAATTAGATGAGTAACATGGAAAAAGCATCTTTTACACAATTCAATTAGAACCAAGGATAGAAATTTTCTGTACAAACTTCAAGAAAAATTAAGTGACAGGAACCTCTCAAGGTGCCTGGCATACAATTTACAGAGCTATTTAAACAGTCAGAACACAGCATTACTTAATTAACACACAGCCATGTTTTCAGCCTGGGGGATAAATGCTGCCTTTCATACAGGCTGCCAGCTTCACAACACTTCTACCCTTCTGTTGCAGTTGCCCAGAGGAAAGTGATTCTAATCATCCTCCACATCTTATTTGCTCAGTCTGAGATACTAAAGATCAACCATAAATGTATGGAGCTCTTAGCTACAGGTGCACAAAATCGAAGTTTCAGAATGTCTGGGTACTGAACGTTGTGTGAGCTCTGATTCAGTGAAATTTTGATTCATGATGAATGAAACCTCATATTAAATTTGCCAACTGCATTTGCCAGTGAGTCTAATTTGACCCTCATCTTTGGTATAAAGCACCAGGAAGTTCCTCAGGAGTAGCATGCATCCCACCAGTGCCAGGAAGATTTTTTTCCTCTTTCTCTGAAGGAGCTGGGGACAGCCAGGAGCAGAATGCAGCTGCAGTTAATGTGCATTAACTCCAAAGTGAAAGCATGCCTCCACTGATGACAGGAAGAGATTTACACCAAGGAAAGATTCCCCAATACATCAGATGGTTGTTACTTCCTTTTGCTGCTTTTGAAAAGCATAGACAAAACTGCTGCAGCCAGGGAGGAATGCAGGATGGCACAAACAGCCTTCCTTGACCATAACTTCTTTCAGCTCTTCCCTGGCTCACCACAGGTTTTTCAGCAGATTCTTGTGTGCACAGCTGCAGGGGAATGATCAACAGATCCATTTTTTCCACAGAAGCACTCTGGATTGGTGGTGGAGTTGTCCCCTCTCGAATGCTGGAGTGGTGAGCAGCACTGCTTGAGTGTTTGTTCCCAGGTGACTTTTTGTATCGCTGTTTGTTCCCAGGTGACTTTTTACTGCTGCTGCCTTACTCAGTTGAATTTTTCCATGCTTGGTATCAATCTTGCCCTGACTTGCACAGTTTGGAAAGCTTGCAGCAGGGTTGCTTTGCTGAGTCTCACCCAGAAGCTGTGGCCATTGCAGAACACATGAAATGCTGTTGGTGGGTGTGAGCTGTGCTCCAGGTGGAAACAGCTGAATTCCCTGCAGAAGGAAGGGATGTGCTCAGCCCTGGAGCTGGCAGGGCTGGAAGTGAAAGCTGTGACCCTGGCTCACTCCAGCAGCCTGGAGCAGCCTGAGTGCTGAGCCAAAGGAGAGCTCTTGCTTCCTCCCTGTTCCCTTTGCCACAGCAGATGGATGGGGGAAGCTGCAGGGAGGGAGGGAGACAGGGATATGAGAGTCAGAAAGTACTGGGGAAGGCAAAGAGCACAAAGTTAGAAGTCAGCAGGAATAAAACTGCAAAACCAAATGAAGGCTTTGGTTGTTGAAGATGGGCTGTAGTTTAAAACTGATACTAAATCCCTGAGTTTGCTTGGCTGTGGTGAAATGGGCTGGAATTTTAGAGTGGGGAATTGCAGCTATTCTGATTTCCAGCATTAGTGAGAGACTGGCAAAATCTGAAAATGCTAAGGGGTCAGCACTAGCAAACACACTGAGGATTGGAGACTGCAGCTCAGATTTCTAAATGTCAAGCTTCATATTCTGTGATAACAGCTCTGTGTTGCCTGAAGTGGTGCAATGCCCACTCAGAGGATTTTATTCCTGCAGCATCAGTGACACGGAACTCCTGACACCAGACATCTTGTGAGTGACTGCAGCCTCCCTCCCTCTCTGTTCACCTGGCTGGAGACATCCCTGAGATCTTCCAGATGTGCCTGGTGCTCTCAGCTGCCAAGGGAAACAGTCACTGCAAAACAAGAGGTCTGAAGTGAGAACTGGGCTTGGCTCACACTGCCTGTGGAACACTCTGAGTGCTTCAGGGAAGCCTCAGGAAGTTTTCACATCAGGCTCCTGAGTCCAGAGAAATAACTAGGGCACAGGGCTCTTGCTTGAAAAAAAACCCCATATATTGAAAAACTTAACTTGTTTTATGACAACAGAGCACAAGAGAGTTTCAAAAAGCTCAAGAAATAAAATCTCATGGAGCTAAAGCTCAGGAGTTTTCAAAATCTGGCTTTTTCATTATTGCTTTATTCTTTACTGCTACAGTCAGGGTTGACTTCAGTGTGATGGTCTGTGACTGCAAAATGAGCTTGTTCATGAGTTTTGGGCTCTACCTTGGAGCTAAAGTCAAAGGTTCTTATTCTAGAGGAATAAATAGAGGCTTTCCTCAAGTTATTCACTTGCTTCTCAGTCAAAATATGCAGTGACACAGTCACATCTTTAATTCTGTCAGCTTTTATCCCTTGAAAACCCAAGAAGCACTAATCCTCCAGGTTGAGTCCTTGGAAGGCACAACAGGAAGGCTCCCCTTGGTTTTGCAAGTGGAGAACCTGCACCTTGATCTCTACAGAGCTGCCCCTGTCTCTGAGTTGATGAAGGCTTACAAAGGCAGGAGGAGCACAGGAACCCCTGTGAGTGCATGAACTCCCTTGGGGTTGGTTTTAGGCTGATCTTAAGATTTGGCTTCTTTGTTGCACCTTCAGCCTGCAGCCCTACCCCCAGAAATTAAACAATTGTATCAAAGCAGGATCCCCAAAGATTACACTGTACCAGTCACCGACCCCACAGCACTCCCAGTGTCCCTGTGCAAGGAGCAAACCCTGCTGGGACACAGCAGCCACCCTGTTCTCCTGCCCTGGGGACAGGATTCCCACCCCTCAGGGGTGCCAGGACTGCACATTGCTGTGCTCCCTGTCAGAGCTGGGCAGCACAGCACAGCCCCACACACGGCTCACTCTCCACACTGTGGGCTGGGCAAACACTGAGCAGCAAATCTGTGCTCTCTTTATCCAGTTACAATTGTGCCACACTGCAAAGAAAACAAGTCAGCTGCCAGAGCAGCTCCTGAAAGTTACTATTTCCATTATGCTGAGATGGATGCACCCTGTAATGTTTCTTTCCAAGTGTTTCACCAAGCAAACAAAAGCAACAGCCAGACTGTTTACTCAGTTTACTTTATTTAAAAGCACTAAGCAAGCATTAAATTAGGGGCAGAGGCCCAAATACAACGAAATTTTCACTTCATTTAAATACAAATATTACAGATATGGAAGAACCATCTGAGTCTATTACACATGTGTGGATCACATTTCATCTTGCAGAGCCAACATCTTCCCCCACCTTCAACGTGGCAGTGCTGTGGCTTTGGCACTTGTACAGTTAAAGCACTCAGGAGCTCCCCCTTGAAGAGTTTCAGCTTTCTGAAAATTCCCCTTTCTCCATCCTTGCCTCGTACTGTCTTTCAGATTGTTTCCTACGGTAAACATCATCTGCAGAAAAAGATGTTTGATGTTAGTTTTCCCAGTGCAAGCTGGTGTTAAATACATGAATCCTGTCGTCTCTTTTTATAAACTTTTCAATCCAAAATTCTCTTGCAGATGCTGACTGACAGGCAATTGGAAATTCAAGCCAACAGAAATCGTTATTACCACTTAAAATAGCTCAGGTTCTCTCCCATATAGGCCAAAGTTCTTCCCATCAGTCCCAATGAAATGTTTTTCTAGGAAAACTAAGTTTCCAATGTGAAACAGTTGTTTCTTGTCTACTTTCCCACGAGGGTAATTAAAATCACAAAAGCCCTAACTAGCTGAAGGGAAATTAAATTATAGGCATGAAGTCAATGCCTGAGGGCTTCCAGCCTGACTTCAGTATTTTAGTCTTTTTTATATCAACAAAACACAGGAATATTCCCACCTCCATGGTCTTCCCAATCATTTTTCCTGCCTCCCTGCTCCCCAATACCACATACAGTTGAGCTGATCCCTTCAGTGAAGTACACAAAAATTTCTAGCAGGGTTTATTAAGGGGAGGAATGTCACATTAAAAATAAATGCTTTAACTTACACAAACTAAATGCCATTAGCCAAGTTCTCTTGAGCTGTTTTCATTCTTATTTTTTAAATTGTAGAAGTCACGTTTCACATAATGCCACACCTCTGCTTAAATGCTGGCAAACCTCAGGAGTCTTTTTCAACTATTGCAGAATGGTTTGAGTTGAGAGGGGCCTTAAAGGTTATCCCTCTGTCATGGACAGGGACACTTTCTGCTGGACCAGTTTTCTCCAAGCCCCATCCAACCTGGCCTTGGACACTTCCAGGGGTGGGGCAGCCACAGCTTCTCTGGGCAATCTGTGCCT